AATACATGGTATTGTGTGTATTGGTATTGTGTGTGGTATTTTTATTTATTGATTTAATGTATTTTTTATGCATAATTTAAAAAAATTGTTAACATTCTGCACTCCTTTTCTATATTCTCTATAAGTGTGGGAAATTTCATACTCCTCCGTCGGCGCAATTTTCGTAAAAATGGATACAAAGTTTTTGCTTCACGTATTAATATATAGATGCACGATTCTCTCATGAGTCTTGTGACTGCAGGAAGATGGAGTCCGCGTTTCCGGTCGAATTCAACATCGTCGTTCAAGGTATCTGGTTTTTTCGGTCGAGATAATACTTTTTGCCTTGCTACCACACAGGAGAAAGTTGTGACGCCATTGTATTTGAGCTAATTCCATTGTTCATTGCTCTAAATTGACCCACGTTGCTTAATGATCACCGGAAAACGTATATAATTCATAGAATGACTCGCACTCATTCGCGTGTAGCTGGAATAGTCTCTTAGTCTTAGCAAACGAGTGGTAAAAAAAAACCTCGCAGGATCCGCAATGAAAAATAAAATACATGTTTCGAATTCAAACAAAGTATATGGGTAATTAATTTTTCCCGGTGCCCCAAAATAAAATACTCTGTGGTCAAATTGAGAATAGAATAATACTGATTGTCTTTAATATTATTTGTCTATAGTTTAGTCTTGGCGAAATCTGTGATTAAAGAAGTATAATAAGTCTTCGACAATAGAAACATAATAAATTTCAAAGTTATAATAACAATTCATTAAAGTTGCATTTCGACTACTGGGGAATCACTAGTTATTATTAAAAAGAGTAAACGCATAGTAAAGTGAGAAGTTACAAACGAAATCAAACCAATAGTACCTATCGTAGCGCACCCAGCCCGTCACATGCAGACCGACAAGTTTTTGTAAGAGTCCCTTACCGGGAATAATTGACCAACAGGTGCGGGCGGCTGCCGTACCGTTTTTTTTTTCTAATCCAACAGCGGAATATTTTTCTAAGTTTGAGAATCGACGTGCCGAACCGCGGTGGAACGAAGGAGTCAAACTTTTCGAGTTTTTTCATGCATCTACAATCCCATTAATATCGTTTGTTTTATTTCTCAGACCTCCAATGGATTCATTGGTTGATTTATCTGAACCAAAATCTCATAGCACGTAATAAGGGTTTCCATGAATGATGCATTGATATAAAAAAAGGAAAGTGATAATTTCTAATTGATTTCGAGTATGGCTCTTTTATAGCTTTTCTTGTGTTAAGGCGAATGACTGAGCTGACGAAGTCCTGTGAAATATATTGTCACACTATGAGTGCTCACCTTGCTGAGGTTAGTTTCTATAGTAGTGAATATTGGCTATCCTACCCTTAATACCAAACTGGTTTGCGGCAGTAATAGGACGAACAGTGCTACATAACCATGTGAGCTAACAATACGCCCTACCGTCCAGTATTTACGCACTATAAACTTTGTGGGTTAGATTTATATTAGACAACGTTATTCCTTCGTCGTGGAGTATTTCCTTAACATGTAGTTCATTAAAAATATCGGTTTCTGCCTTCAGGTTTTGAGCACCAGCATAGTCGGTCGATAAACATCGATAGCCTTATCCATTGAGCCACAATAGTTTTAAAATTTATATAAAATATCTTTACTTTAACATTTTTTTAATATCTTTCATAATTTGAAAGAAAAAAAACGGATACTATGGGAATTATAAATTTTGGGGACTACCGCAATTTGGTTTTATTGCGTCGATATGTAAATCTACACTTGACAGGCCCATGGTACAGGATCTAGTTAGATCGGTAGAGGATACTTTGCGAAGAAAAGGTTCTTCGATAGTTTGGCTCACTGATAATTTGGCGAGAATACTTTTCTTACTGTTCTCTTGATCTACCAAGGATCCAGTTTGTCTAACGGCTGCCCATCTGCTTCAGTCCCGTGTGGGTAGCACCAATATATTTTTCCGAGTCACCTAAAGGTTAAAATGGAAGTGAAACTCAACAGTTTCTTTAGCCCAATATTTACGATTTTCCCATTTAGGCTGTTTATTAGTCTAGCCAATCTACATTTTCAGGTTAAATCAAATCCATTTCCACTATCGATACAAAACAAAAATCCAATACGTTTCACACTTAAATTGTAAGCTCTCATTAATTCATGACAAGGCTCGGGACGAGGGCTTTGTGATTTGATGACGTCACGTTTTGAAACATCGCGCTGATTGTTGTTGACGGGAAATTCGAATGTAGAGGCAAGTGCTTATAGTGATAGCTTATTACTGTGACGTATTGCGGGACAATCTGCAGACTTTATCGTTTGTACTACGTAATCGAATGTATAAAAATAATTATTTTTTTGTTTGTCGTCTGTGCGCTCAGTCATGTTTATCTGATTGTGCTTCGGATTGGACTGATCCAGGCTACATAACTTTTATTTAACCAAATTCATTGAGAAATTCTTAATCATCAGTTCACACGGAAACTGTTTAGCGGATGTGTACAGTTATTTTTAAATATATATATATTTTTTTGCTAATTTTTGTTTCCCTAGATTGAGATGATACCGATTTTATTGGCATGTTTACTCCTAAAAGGGTATTGTAGAGATTGCATACCGTGTATCCAATTAAGATTCGACTTCGAATCCAGTTGACATTCATCTATATGGGTTCTTATGTAAGTTGTCAGTAAAAGCTGACAGTGAAACCTTCGCAAGTATTATTTCTATCTCGCTCACACGCGAAATCTGACAGATGTTATATTTATCTCTTTTAGTGTTGCTTTTTGAGCGCAATTTCCGTTTCGCTGACCTTCATAACACGACGGTGCGAAGAAGCACTTCAGCTCGAAAAGTCTTTTAAAATTACCATTAAATGTTTGCAATTAACCAAATATAAAACACGTCAAAGGTCACAATCTTGTTAATTAAGCTAATCACGCAGCGATGCATGGTCGATAAATTTCTCTTCTAACATCGAAATTAATTTTCCCTCAAAATTTACGAGATTTATTTAGCGTCCGCCTGATGTTGTGCTTACCGAAGCCCACACGAAAGTATAGGATAATCATAATGACTCTCACCTTTCAAACTCTGATCTCTCGTCTCACCTTTCAAACTCTGATGTATTATATGATTAATGAGAACGCGGCAGAAATAGAACATGAGCTTTCTCATCCACATATTCTAAAAGAACAAGGATATTAGTACCCAGGTGTGAGGTTATGTCACACGCGTCACTACGAGCATTAAGCGAAATTAAGGTGATAATGTATAGGTATCTATATATTAATACGTGAAGCAAAAACTTTGTATCCCTTTTTACGAAAATTACGCAAACGGAGGAGTACGAAATTTTCCACACTTATAGAGAATGCAGAGAAGAAGTGCACAATGCTAATTTTTTTTTTTAAATAATGCATAAAAGATACATTAAATCAATAAAGAAAACATTACACACACTACATACCATGATTTGACGCACACACGCATGCATACTATTTATTGTCAAACTTTTGTTCTTGACGTCTGTTGTCAAATTGAGATGAATTTTTTTTATGATAGAAGTTTATAATACAATCGTAATATAATAACTTACAATTCCAATTAATTATAGTCGAATTTCGACTACTGCGGGACCTCTAGTATTGATTAATACGTAAGGCACTTGTAGAAGACAATAAATCTGTGAAATATCAATAAACCTAATAATAATATGTCGTATAGTGAATTCCGAATATTCTCGCAGCTTCTTAATAATTGTATATTAACCGAAATACTGTACTCAAATAAATGCTATAAGTAAATGATGTTAATTAATATGCTTTTTTAATTAATTTCCAATAGTTTAATTTCGGAAAGAATAGCACGAAAAATATCGATACAAAATTTAAAATTGAACTCCGAGGCATCCGAAATATATATACATATATATTATATAGATAGATAGATTAGATAGGTGGACGAGCCCACAGCCCACCTGATGCTAAGTGGTTACTGGAGCCCGTAGACATCTACGACGCAAATGCGCCACCCACCTTAAGATATCATTTTTAAGGTCTCAAGTATAGCTACAACGGCTGACCCACCCTTCAAGTCGAAACGCATTACTGCTTCACGGCAGAAAAAGGTAAGGTTGTTAGTACCTATCCGTGTAGACTCACAAGAGGTCCTACCATCAGTAATTTTTTATATATACTATTTATTATTTAATTTGTGTATTAAACACAAAAGCCTTCCCCTAATTCGAATTTGTATTCCAAAAATAATGAGACATGTGCTATTTTTAGTCTCTTAGAGAATTACGAAATGCTTCCTCATTCAATTATTCATTTTAGAGGGGCAACTTCAAAAAGTCCTGATTGCACGTCCTAGGGTAATCAAATTTCCTCCAATTTCCAATTCTATGCTCAGGGCTTATTCTGAGTATGTCAGTCAGTCACTGTTTTTTTTATAACTATAAAAACAGCCGAAGTTCAATGTGGTTTGTTTTTTATTTATNTCTTAGAGAATTACGAAATGCTTCCTCATTCAATTATTCATTTTAGAGGGGCAACTTCAAAAAGTCCTGATTGCACGTCCTAGGGTAATCAAATTTCCTCCAATTTCCAATTCTATGCTCAGGGCTTATTCTGAGTATGTCAGTCAGTCACTGTTTTTTTTATAACTATAAAAACAGCCGAAGTTCAATGTGGTTTGTTTTTTATTTGTGCCTTAGTTTATCTAAGAAAATTCTCGTACAAACATTATTTATGAAGTAAAAAAGAAAATGCCCCTGTTTAATCATTTATTTAAAATATTTGTTGCGGCTTAACTTAAAATGTAAAATATACCATTGCTTATTTGAGATCTAATTTTCTTATATAATAAATAAAAAATAAACACCTTAAACTTGATTCGAAATTGTTACATTCTGAAAACATTCTGGATTCAAAAACGGGACACTGTCCAGTAAATACACCGAAGCTTTTAAAAATAAATAAGTAACGTAAAAAATACAAACCTTTCCTCGTCCAAACCTCACGATAAACACAGAATGTAATCCGTCGTCAACATTAAAATTTCAACGTTAACATAAACACAATGTAAACACACATAAACAAAAAAAATAATAGAAAAGTTAACAACACCACAATGGTTTATTTATTAAATTCGAATTTCGAATTCTCTTCGAAAACGTTCGAAATTTATTTTGTTTTTAACGCACACACTGACACGTCGTTCGATATTCGAAATGCCGCGTACTGGCTGGAGCTACCCGACGGTTGTTGCTCTGCCGGTGAACTGGGGGCGTATGGAAGCTCGCTTGCCCCGGCCAGGCTTCGGGTCAAAGAGTAACCAAGGCCGTAGAAAGGTTCACAGGCAATTTTCTTCAGGAAAGTTAAATGATAAGGTTAGAGATGAAAAGGTCACCTTGTACTTTGAAAGTTTATTATATATTATGATAGATGGACATGACCATTATATTAAGTTTATTTTCATGTTTACAATGGTACAGAAAAATAAAATATAAAAAAACGAATTATTTTTTTTAAGAATATCTTATATTTATTACTTACATTTAAATTTGTGTTACATTTTACTAAAGTTTCATTGGTACTAAGTTATATTTGATCGTTTATTTGGCGTTATTAAATTTTAAATTCATAGCAAATTTTTGTGAGCAATAACTCATTACTTAAATATGACTAAGCGTGTAAGGGCACAAAACAAATAAAACTACATAAATCTCGGGAGAAAATTAAAGTCGGTATTAAGAAAAAACAGCGTAACCCTTCTATGAATTTCCACGCCGACCTAATCTTTGCGTCGACAACGACCTTAATCTGAAATCCCTTTTCAACTCCTCGTGGCTCTCATTATTGATCTCTTTCACTCCTCGCTACCGGTGCAATAACAGCGACGTCCCGCTCCCTCTTAGAGCCTCCGCGTGCATCTGTCCCTTTCTCTCACCACTGCAGAGCCTCAAAAACGTGGTACAATCGTAGCTATAAACCGTGTGCGTTTCGAATATGAAAATCCTTCATTTAAATTGACCACAGAGTAATTTAATTCTTATCATCGGTGTCAGCAAACTACAATGCTTGTTATTCAATTTGCTTATATTCGATTAGACTGTGACACTTTTGGCGAGGCCATTGCTTTGCGGTTACAATTGGTGTAATTTATAGGGTGTTGTTTTTCATGGTGAGTTCGTGTATATCTCCAAATTTTTTTTTTTAAAGAAAGTGGACATCTTTCTCTGAGTAAACAGTTATTTTTTATTGCCCTTGTAGGCAGACGAGCATGCGGCCCACCTGGTGGTGAGTGGATATTATCGCTCATGGACCTCGGCAATCCCAGGGGCAGAGCCAAGCCGCTGCTTTGTAGAGGGTTATATTCTTGACAAGTTTAATATCTAAAATGAAAAGAACTTTTTTATGTCTGTATCCCTGACTGCTATGTATATCTGACTCCTGTTTTTATTATATAGTTGTATATTATGTAAATAGTTACCACGTCTATTTTTCTTTATTTATTGCATAGTTAGGTGGACGAGCTCACGGCCCACCTGATGTTAAGTGGTTACCGGAGCCCATAGACATCTACAACGTAAAAGCCGCCACCTACCTTGAGATATAAGTTCTAAAGTCTCAGTATAGTACAACGGCTGCCCCGACCTTCAAACCGAAACGGATTACTGCTTCACGGCAGATATAGGCAGGGCGGTGGTACCTACCCGTGCGGATTAATACCTCCTACCACCAGTCCATGGTGTCTAAGTATCAATTTTATATAGTATCATTCTACCCTTCTAACCGGAATGAATTACTGTTTTGCAGCATAAATAGACAGGCTAGTAGTAGTACCCGAGTAAGTAGCGGTCTTATGTTGGAGCGCTGTTTGGTTCTGCGGGCTAACAAGGCGCTCTACCACCAGCTATTACACAAATTGATATATTTGCGAATATAATTTTTATTACACGATGTCATTCCTTCATCTTGCCAGTCAATCGTGATGGTGTGTCAAGTACGTATTGGGAAAATCGGTACGTGCCTGCGGTTCTTTACAAGCACACCGGGTGTCTGATGGTATCTTAACGATATTAATCGCTGGATACAGATATCGATAGCACTGGACGATAGTGGCCAGAATGTGCCCAGGGCATTGCTGATGTTCTCTAGACTGATCGTGACTAATCATCACTTATGCCTTTGAGGGCAATAAAAATCAACCCCAGTCGTTTTCCAAACACAAATAGCTTCGCTCTATCGTATGTCCGTGGTATCAGAATGGTAGCTGGCTTCACTATCTAATTCTCGATCTAAAAAGCAGTAGAGCATATTGCTAACCCGCGCTGACCCTACTTTGAAACCTTTGCGGCCGATATAGGCGATAGTAGCGTTTTCATTAGGTCTTAAACTAGCCTCAAATATTACTTTAATTGTTCAAATATTTATGATGAATAGCTGACCCGGCACACTTCGTAATGCTCAATCGATAATTAAAGACCTAAACTTTTGTATAAAATAAACTTAAAACAAACAAAAGGAATCCGTCCGACGGGGGACACATCAAAGGAAAAACAAAATTGTTAGTTTTTATTTAATTCCGAGCATTTTTATATTTATCTACCTTTTAAACCTTCTCTGGACTTCTAAAAATAATACAAGACCAAAATTAGCCAAATCGGTCCAGCCGCTCTCGAGTTTTAGCGAGACTAACGAACAGCAATTCATTTTTATATATTTTATATAGATAGTAATCAAGAATCTTCACATATTGACTAATTATTATGAACAGATGATTCACCCGTTTCGTTTGATGTAAAATACTTAATATAAATTGGTGAAAACTGCCGTAATAGATACGGTCTATATTTTTGACAACAACGAAATAATAGACAACTATGTTGTATAAATAGCGTTCGTCCAATGATCGAATGTAATCATTAACACCTCAAGTACTGGTCATATGTAGGAACACTGTTTGGTTCTGGGGGTAACAAGGCGCTCTACCACCAGCTATTACACACATTGATATATTTGCGAATTTAATTTTTATTACACGATATCATTCCTTCATCTTGCTAGTCAATCGTGATGGTGATGGTGTGTCAAGTACGTATTGGGAAAATCGGTAAAAAACTTGCCTTTAAAGCACCTAATGATTTTTGTCTTTAAAAAAATACAATTTATTTTCTTTATCGGCACTGGTACTGGTAAACTATAGTAATTCAATTTACAAACAGAAATGGGAAGAATATAAATTCGTCATGATCTACGACATGAGCGAAGCCAGGTGGGGGAGGAAAGTCCTCGAATGGAGGCCACGGATGGGTACCAGGAGCGTGGGGCGTCCTCCAACCAGGTGGACTGACGTCTTAGTGCGGCGGGAAGTCGTTGGATGCGGAAGGCGGAGGACCGCATTATGTGGAAGGCATTGGGGAAGACCTATGTCCAGCAGTGGGCAGATAAAGGCTGATGATGATGATGATCATGATGACCTACTAAACAAATAATGTATGTAGATAAAAAAAACTGAACTAATAATTAATTTCATATTTTTGTTTATCCTGTCGATACTGGTCAGAATAATGGAGCGATGTTATAAAATTATTACATTGGCATCAGTCCTTGATGCGTGTGTAAATTTCAAAGTTAATCACACACACATATGAAGACAGCGAAAATTTCGTTCAATAATTCCGATACATACAGCCAAGCATAAGTTCATATCAAGGTAAATAAAGCTTAAAGAATATCCCAAAGAATGAATCAAACAAAAAAAAATCCAAACAAATAACGAAAAAAAAAAACATTGCAAAAAATGGTTCCATTGCCATTTTGCCTGTTTATACATGCTAGTGGTCCCGCAGTAGTCGAAATTCGACTAAAATTAATTCAAATTTTGTGTTTGAACATTATTATGATTCTATTGTCAAATTATATAATCACATATTTCGCCAAGACTACACTTTAGGCAAAATATTAATAAAGACAAACAATATTTAATCTATTCTCAATTTGACCACAGACTATAAACAATATGAAAAGTTTGACAATAAACAAATAGTAAGCATGCTTGTGTGTGTCAAATACATGGTAGTGTGTGTAAGGTTTTTTAATGGATTTATTGTATTTTTTATGCATAATTTAAATAAAATATTAGCATTCTGCATTCCTTCTCGATATTCTCTATAAATGGGGGAAATTTCATACTCCTCCGTTCGCGCAATTTTCGTACAAAGGGGTACAAAGTTTTTGCTTCACGTATTAATGTATAGATGTTGAGATTGTTATTAATACATTTACTTCAATGCTTACCATCCTGTCCTAGCATATCCAGCCATTGACTCTAAGCCATGACTTTTTGTCGGCGTGCGATAACATCCGTCTCTCTCGCACCAGTTCAAACAACAATACACCGTCTTTCTCTATCGGCACGCGCATCCACCTGGCGAGCTCTCCCAATCGTATGGAACTTGATTGAAATCCAGTTTTCGCTTGGCCACAACTAGTCTTAAGTAATTTTTATCGTAAACTTGTTTTTTATTCGTAATCCTATCAAAGGCGGAGGCATCGTTGCGTTAGTGATTTGATTGTTAATGTGGATCTTGATGCGTATGTCTTTCGCCGGAATTATAATACCTATTACGATTTTTAAGTATTTACCAGCTCAACATTCGCGTACCGCTTTGACACTCTACATCACTTTAATATCTGAGTCGTATTAAATTGATAAGCAATATTGCAAAACCATACGGGCGTATTTGTTGCAAATAAATTTAGTATATCCAAGCTTATACACAAAGAAACGACACCATACACAGTAATAGCATACCAGTCAGCCGTCTATTCGCGCTAATATAACAAATTGGGATCAAGCCGTGTCCAAATTCTTTCGAACTTTCATGTTCTATTTCATTTCTTAGAGTAGCGTATTTACTTGTTCACTACAAAAAAAAAAAACACATAGTATATTCATTATTTGATATAATTAGTTGCCTCGGGATAAATGTTATATGAGGACAAATGCCTAATTAACGAGATGTTAGGTAACATGTGCCCGCAAGATCTGATAAATAAATAAAAGGAATGAAAGTATAATTGTATGTAGTTATTATTGGAACGAAGTTCCTTATGGGACGATGCGGAGGGGTACCGTAACCGGGAAAAAACGTCCGTAACGTAAGATTTTTGTTAGTAATGCACACAGTGTACGGCTTAACTTTGCAATAACGTACAAATTAGTAATGCACACAGTGTACGACTTAACTTTGTGATAACGTA